GCCAATCTTAGTTCGATTAAATAATGTTGTGAGCATGCCCGTATTTCCAGTAGGTGTTTTTGTAGGTAAAACCAAGCCATCCGATTGCGAAAAGTTTTTAAGCAAATTTTCAACTGAGTATTTGGATATTTTAGAGAACGGGATGCAAATAGAAGAGCAAAATATCAAAGCAGAAATTAGGGCTGTTGTCTGCGACGCTCCTGCGAGAGCTTTTATTAGCGGTACTCCCGGCCATACTTCGAAACATGGTTGTGCTAAGTGTACACAGGTAGGAAAAAAAGTTAATATGGTATTGACCTATAGCAGTTCATCGGGGATTCTAATTACAGATGAAGATTTTAATAGTAGAAGGTATCCAAATCATCATCAATTAATTTATTTAAAGGAAAAGTCAGCATTAGAGAAGTTAAAAATAGATATGATTAGTCAAATTCCATTAGATTGCATGCACCTTATTGATTTGGGTGTTATGCGGAAATTTCTCCTTAGCCTAATAAGCAACAAAGTCAGTTATAAAGTTTCAAACGAAGATAAAAAAAATATTTCCGAGAAGTTAGTTGCAATAGGTCCCTTCATTCCCAAAGAGTTTGCTCGAAAGCCTAGACCATTAGACGAGATATATCATTGGAAAGCAACAGAGTTTAGGCAGTTTCTTTTATATACAGGTATTGTAGCTCTTCATGGCGAAATTCACGATAATTTATATTATATGTTTCTGTTGCTTCACTGCGCATATCGTATTTTGTGCTTTCCAATGTTTCGAGAAAGTAATCTTTCTAGTGCGCAATCCATGCTAGACCTTTTTGTTTCCAATTTTCCCAACTTATTTGGTGAAAATAGCGTTTCCTACAATGTGCACAGTCTTTTACACATAAAGGAAACGATACAGCAAGTAGGTGACCCAACTTTGGGGTCATCCTACTCATTTGCAAACTATTTACAAGAATGAAAAGGATGGTTAGAAAACCTAACAAGATTTTGGAGCAGATTAATAGAAAAATATGTGAGGAAAAATTTTCAGTGCCAAATAGTAGGATAGTAGGAGGTAGATGTTATCTGAAAGGGTGTGTTTTAAGTTTAAGGCAGCCAAACAATTGCTGGTTTATTAAAGGTTATATTCCTTTAATAATAACATCGTTTTCTGATGAGGGCTTTTTCATGGGTCGAAAGTTTTCTAATAAATTCAATTTGTACGAGGAGCCTCTAGATTCCACAAGTTTGGGTATATATATTGTAGATATTGAAGACTATGAGGTAGAGGAAAGGTTTCCCTTAAATTTTTTAGAATGTAAGGGGCTTTGTATTCCATATAGAAATAGGTTAGTGGTTATGCCGATGCTACATTTATATTAGTTATAGGTACCTTTTAATATTATTCTTATAATTACTTATATTATATTTATACATAATACATTTATTTTCTTTTTAATATTCTAATGTTTATTTTCACTTTAAGAAATGTCTAAAAATTTTAAAAAGATGAAGTTTTCCTGCCAAGGTAAGTTAACATTACAGGTACTACTAATATAAGTACTTTAATAAAGATCTAAATTTACAGAAAAGGAAAACGAGTGCACAAAATGCATAAAATTGGAGGAGCGTCTTGAGTCGATGGACGAAAAAATAACTCGCCAATTTGAGGTTGTGCTCGGGAAGTTGCGGAGCTGAAAGTGATGGTGGGCCAGCTCACAGCCAATCAACTAAACAAAACAAACATCTTGGCAATGCTGCCCCATCTCAACGAAAAAATTGGGAAGGGGAATCGAGATGAATACGTACGTATTGTTGATAGTACAAATGTCTAATTTATCTAATATTACTAACAAAATATTTTTAACAGATTAATGCCTTGCATCAGCGCCTGCATCCTGGCTCAGTTGGACAAAATCTGAAAAATATTTTTATGAAGGGGTTGGCTTTGAGTGCAATGTGGATGGGGTGCTAGGCAAGAGGTGCCTCAAGTCTCTTGAACATTTTTACTCTGCGATCATTGGTAAGTAATAAGCAAAATCCAATTTTAAATAACAATATTTAAAATATTTCTTTAACTATATTTTCAGCATCAATTGAAATGGGAGAGCCTGGACCAGGGGTCACACACCTGCGCCATGCTTTACACCTTCAAAAGAAGCGGGTGATTTGCAAAAATAATAAAAATAAAGCTACTAATAATTGTCAATAGTTATTAAGATTTAGATTTAAGCCAGGAAGGAATTTGTTGTTTTTTTTTCGCCACTGAAGGTGTTTTTTGTTTCTTTGTTTCTTTAATTTAAATTTAAGTTTAATGCCACTGAATGTTCTGTTTTTTTTTTTTTGAAGTTGTCTTATTATAAATATAAAATGAAAAGAAAATAAAAAAGGTGTTTTATTGAGCCCAGACCATTCGCTGCCCAGCCAGCCTAGCCGTGGTCTAGGTAACGTGGACCAGTCAATGGTCTGGTATATTCAGCCTAGCCCGGTGTCTAGGCAACGTGGGCCAGTCCATGGTCTGGTACCGCGGGGCCGGGCCGCCGGGCCCCCCGCCCCCCCCCCCCCCGCCGGGCGCGGGCCGGCCGGCCGTGCGTGGGCCCGTGAGGGGGGCCCTCGGCAACTGCCAATCCGGCCTTGGACCTATTCCCGTCGTCTGACTTCATATTTCGTTTGCGTATTCTGTCGCTCGACTCGACGCGGGTGAGGAATTGACGAAGCCGAAAGCAGAGGCAAAGGCTAGCCTAAAAAAAATGGAAGAAATACCCCGCGCGCCCGTTGCAACATCAGCTTTTCAAAACAAAACGAAAAAATATTTTATGAACGCTTTGAATAAATGTACACATCTAGTAGAACACTTTCCAGAGCTTTAGCGAATCTAATTTTCAAGATAATTTTAGTTTAGGAGATATGAGCAGAGATAACAACCTTTATTTTTATATATTGTATTTATTTCCCATCCCCACCCACTCTGCCCATTCCTCATTTATGTTGCGGCAGATCAGCTCAGGTCGCTACATCAGCCCTCACAACAAAACGAAACGAGAAGGAACGTGCGAGTCGCTTCTGGGGACGCGACTCTACTTGTACCCGTACTCAGTCAGTATATACATTTTTAAGCATATAATTTATTAAAATTTTGGAATAAAAAAAAAAAATTTTACATTTTGCATTTTTTTTGCTACATATGTTATCTACATCTACATCTACAATGTATATTCTACATCTAACATGTAGATTATAGATGTTCCATATAGATTCTACATCTCCTCCGCTAGGGGTTGCTCGCGCACTGAACGCGGCAGAGTGTGTGGGCGAGAAGGAAAATGAGTTGCGTTGTTGTTGGCAGGAGGGGGCAGGGGAAGCAACAGAAAATTAATTCTGGCTATAATTATGATCCGATCTAATTCAGATTCGGCAGTCTGGTAGATATGGGCATTCTCTACGATACTGCGTTTTTAGTTTTATCGTATCTTTAAAAATGTGCCCAAAGTTCGGGGGGCCGGAGGGGGCGGGGCGAAATTTTGAAATACACTTGTAGCAGTGGGATATCACATGAGTCTGGAAACCAAATTTGGTTGCCCTAGCTCTTATAGTCTCTGAGATCTAGGCGCTCATCGGGACGGACAGACAGACAGACAGACGGATAGACAGACATGGCTATATCGACTCGGCTATTGATGCTGATCATGAATATATATACTTTATGGGGTCGGAAACGTTTCCTTCTCTGCGTTACACACATCCACTTTTACCACAAATCTAATATACCCTTTAACTCTTTTTTGAGTACGGGTATAAGAAAATACATGAAGTTGCCAGATACTTCCAAAAAGATCAAATATTCGAAATGAACAGGTTTTTGGATCTATTTTCAATCAAAGCAAAAAAGGAAAACATAAAGAACACAATGGAGACAATCAGGGAATATTTCCTAAATAGCGAAAACTTTCGGCACCGTCCTGCTGATGTAGAATCCGCACTGGAATTCGTACAATCATAAATTAATAACGGCCACACACAGCGGTCTATAGTGGAAAGCGTAGAGGTGTTGCGGACGTTCTCACCGTTCTTCGTCACTTACGACGAACTGCACGTGAAACAGTTTGAAACAGGTGTAAGTATGATGTTATTTAAGCATGGCTGTTGCAATTTGCTCAATATATGTTATCCAAAATAGCATGGCATTCCATCCAGAGTAAAAATGCTGGTAATTGCGGCTCATACTGCTGAGCTGGACAGTCAAAGCAATATCATGTCTGGAAAAGTATATCAAAATATTTATATTTAACAGGCAGTCACAGAAGACACGACCATGGGCAAGGACAAAATAAAGAAACATGTGCAACGTGTGCTGGACCGCATAGCAGGGATGAAGGAGAACGGGATAAGCTTTTCGAATAGAGTCTTGGGCGTTATAAGCGACGGCAATGCTGCAAATGGGAAAGCGGAATTTCATACTTACCACTACGCGCATTTGCCGGTGCTGCGGGACTACATCCATTTGAAAAATAGTTTGGCAGAGCGGTACCTTTACAAATACCGAGTATTGCGAAGGGTGTACATGAGGAGCATTTTTAAGAAGGATACTTGGCAATCGATGTTGGACCAGGCAGATACAGCTGCAGCGCTGTCTCCTCACCGGGAGTACAAGGAGAGGCAGCTTGCCAACTTAAGATTAACGCTTCAAAAGTTTTTCGGACTGTGCCCGTCTGACCAAATCAGCTTACACAACGTTAACACTGATGAGTTGGAGATATTCCAGACATGCCTGCAGGGCGAGATCAGTTTGTTAGCAGCCGGGCACGTACCGGAGCTTAAAAACGGAGAGGCAGCTCCAATATTTCTGGCACAATTTGCAGGAGTGTACATGAAGCTGGAAGACGTTAGGTAGTATTAGTTAGTAGTTAGATAGTTAGGTAGTTTTAATGCAAATAAATAAACTCAAAAATGTATATACATAATATTGTTTATTGGTTTTGTAATGGTTATTCCTCGGCCTCGGCGAGGGCCACCTGCACAGCCCAACGCTCATGGGACACCACTGGCTCATCATCGTCAGGAGGGGCATGGATGATTCGAGCGGCATGGACCACTGGAGCGGCATTGATGACTGGAGCGGCACGGACCATGGAAGCAGCATGGGCGATTCGAGCGGCATGGATGACTGGGGCGGCATGGACGACTGGAACGGCATGGACTATACGAGCGGCAAGGGCGATGGAAGCGGCATGCGCGATACGATCGGCATGCGCGATACGAGCGGCACGGACGATACGAGCGGCATGGACGACTGGAGCATCATCGGCATGCGCGATAGGAGCGGCATCGGCCACTGGAGCTTAATCGGCAGGGACGCGTCCACCATGTCCACGCCCACCATGTCCACGCCCACCATGTCCACGTCCACCATGTCCACGCCCACCATGTCCACGTCCACCATGTCCACGCCCACCATGTCCACGTCCACGTCCACCATGTCCATGTCCACGTCCACGTCCATTTGAATTCCCAAAGTTGGCTGCGTTTAACATGTTCGAAATGTTTAACCGGCTCAGCCGGTTCGATTCGGCTTGCGCCGTGTTCGCTCGAAGGACGGCCTCCAGGGCCCGATTAAAGGCACGCCGATCTCTCGACGCCCTTCCCGGTCCCTGGTAGACACGACAGTCGTGTCCCCGTCTTCCTCGCTGTTGGTTGTCCATATTCTGTAATAAAAGAAAACAGAATGAAAAGTTTGTATTACAAATGCATATGTATGTGTGCATATGCACGCGTCTCGGTGCCATAACGGTAAAATGTTGACATACATATGTGAACGCAAAACATCTTGCAAGCACATATGTACATAGCAAAGTATATGTCGTATGTGTATGTACATACATGCAAAGCAAGGCGCTGAAATGTATATACATACACATACACACATTATTTTGACCGTTACGTTATGCCGTATGTGTATGTATATCAGGGGTCGGCACACAGACTCACACATTTTTTTGGTGCGTTTGTGTGCGAAAACAACAGACACGAAGTCAAATACGTTACTTATTTCTCTGCCGCTGCGAAAGCCGAAGAATTTTGCAAAGGGCACACGAATGCTTCTCTGCCGCTGAGGCAAGCGGGCAGAATATGAAGCCGTTTGTGCATAGGCCGAAGCATGTTTCTCTGCCGCGACGTCAGCAGAGCAGAATTTTCTCTGCTGGTACGTCATCAGGCAGAATAACGAAACCACACGAAGTCTTTACGCTGTACGTGTGCCGACTGCGCTGCCCGAAATTTTTTCCTATGCACAGTGCATACGACGCTGCCGACCTCTGATGTATATGCAAAGCAAGGCGCTGAAATGTATATATGTACATACACATATACTTTTTTTACCGTTACCGTTACCGTTTTTATACCCGTACTCAAAAAAGAGTTAAGGGGTATATTAGATTTGTGGTAAAAGTGGATGTGTGTAACGCAGAGAAGGAAACGTTTCCGACCCCATAAAGTATATATATTCTTGATCAGCATGAATAGCCGAGTCTATATAGCCATGTCTGTCTATCCGTCCGTCTGTCTGTCTGTCCGTCCGTCCGTCTTGATGAGCGCCTGGAGAGACTATAAGAGCTAGAGAAACCAAATTTGGTTTCCAGACTCATGTGATATCACACTGCTACAAGTGTATTCAAATTTCGCCCGCCCCTTTCCGCCCCCACAAAGGACGAAAATCTGTGGCAGGCACATTTTTAAAGATACGATAAAACTAAAAACGCATTATCGTAGAAAATGCTCATATCTACCAGACTGCCGAATCTGAATAAGATCGGATCATCAATTATAGCCAAAATGAAAAAATTAATTTTCAGATGCTTCCCGTGCCCCCTACCGCAAACGACAACGCAACTCATTTTCCTTCTCGCTCGCACACTTGCCGCGTTCAGTGCGCGAGCAACCCCTAGCGTAGGAGATGTGGAATCTAAAATGGAACATGTACATTGTACAATCTACATGTTAGATGTAGAATATACATTGTAGATGTAGATGTAGATATCAGATTTAGGAAAAAAATTTAAAATGTAAAATTTTTTTTTTTAATTCTAAAACTCTAAAAAATCATATGCTCAAAAATGTATATACTGACTGAGTACGGGTATAAGTAGAGTCGCGTCCCCAGAAGCGATTCGCACGTTCCTTCTCGTTTTAATTCCATTTATTTAATTAATCTAGTTATCTATTTACAATTAGTTTACTAGACTATGCGAGCCCGACAAGTGTGGTACGGCCGCGAAGCAATGCTTCACACGCTTAGCCTTGCTGCTCCCTTCTCTGGCGCTCAACAGCGCGCAGTTCTGCCATGATGGTGGCCGCGAAGTTGCTGATCGCCTCCCAGTTACCAGGGGACCTTAGCATGTACGGCACCAGGCTATGTTTGGATATCGCCCCTCCCAGGGTGACTTCCAGCTGATGACGCTGCGCTGTAAACCTGCCGCACGCAAAAATAATGTGTTCGGCGTCCTCCTCCATGTTATGTCCGCACCATGAGCACTCTGCTGAGTCCTCATGCCCGAAACGATGCAGGTAGCTGCGAAAGCAGCCGTGGCCGCTGAGGAGCTGTGTCAAATAGAAATTGACCTGGCCATGCTTCCTATCAACCCACGCTTCGATGGATGGGATGAGTTGGTGAGTCCATCGACCTTTAGGGGACGTATCCCAGCGTTGTTGCCACTTCCGGAGGCTCTGCAGCTTGCAAGCCTTGCGCACCTGCCGTTTGTCCGCTGCTTCCATGCCTCTGCCATGCGTATCCAGATGGTAGGTGGACCGCTCCTCCGCTAGGTACTCAAACGGTGCTATACCCGCTATCACGTGGGCAGCATCGTCCGAGACTGTTCGGAAGGCACTGACTATTCGAAGTGAAGAGAGTCGGTGAGTGGCTGCCAGGCCTCTGGTGTTAGCTCGCTGTCTGGAGGGCCTTTGTCCAGATTGGCGCTGCGTAAAGCATCACCGATCTCGTCACACTCGATAGTAGATGTCGTCGCCATTGCTTGGGTCCTCGGGTATTCAACATCATCCTTGACAGAGCTCTGTTGCTGGATGCCGCCTTCGAGTTCATGTAGGCCAGATGCTCTCGAAAACAGTCGTGTGTCTATCAGGACGCCAAGGTACTTGATAGCCCGCTTTGATGACACTAGGGTGCCTGCCACTGTGATGCTGGCCGTCTCCACTTTCTTCCGGCTGGACACCAGTACTGCCTCGGTCTTGTGAGGAGCGAGTTCAAGCCCGACAAGCTCCAGCCACTGTTGGATGAGCGCAATCGTCAGGTTGCAGGTCGTCTCTACTGCGGCCAAGTCTTTAGCCACTACCAGGACAGCCACGTCGTCCGCAAAGCCCACCACATGCACTCCGTGGGGGAGGCTGAGTCGCAGAATGCCGTCGTACATTGCGTTCCACAGTAAGGGACCCAGTACCGACCCCTGCGGAACGCCTCCAGATACCTCGTATTGTTCCGTGCCGGCCTGAGTGTCGTACAAGAGCAGCCTTTCCTCAAAGTAGTTTCGAACCATGCGCTGAAGGTACATGGGTGTATTGAACCTCCCTAGCGCCCTCAAGATACAGCTCCATCTCGCCGTGTTGAACGCGTTCCTGATGTCCAGCGTGACCATTAGGCAGTACTCCTTGCAGACGCCTTTCCACCGAGTGCCGGCGATTGCCCTAGATGCAATGTCTACCACTCTACCAACGGCGTCAGTCGTGGATCTGGCCTTGCGAAAACCGTATTGATGCGGTGATAGGTCGCCAGCCTCCGCGATGGCTCGTTCTAGTCGCGAGCATACCACTTTCTCGAGCAGTTTGCCCGCTGAGTCGATCAAGCAGATTGGCCTAAACGATGACGCTATCCCTGGCGGCTTGCCTGGCTTGGGAATGAGCACTAGCTTCTGCATCTTCCACCTCTTAGGAAAGACTCCTTCGCGAAGGCACTGGTTTAGCAGCTTCACGAAGATTTCCGGGCGCAGGGAAAGGGCGAGTTTGAGAGTATAGAATCCGGCCCCGGTGCCTTGTTCGGGCCAATGCTCCTGGCTGCAATTGCGATTTCTTCGAGAGTCACCTCCTCGATGTGGGCCTGTTGTAGCGGTGGGATTAGGCAATGGACCTCCTCTATGTGATCCGACATGCGCGGAAAGAGCTCCTCCACAATGGATCTGGCCATGTCGGGGTCCGATGGGGGTGCTTGTTTCTTGGCGCACAGCTTTTTTGTTACCAGCTTGTATGCCATTCCCCATGGATCTTTCTCAGCAGAATCGCATAGCGTCAGAAAGCACTGGCGTTTGCTTTCCTTAATGGCGGCCTTGAGAGCCCTCCGGCAGTCTCTAAAGGTAGCCTGCCATTGCGAAAAGTCCGTGCTATCCCGCGAGCGCTGGTAGCGGCGTCGTGCGTAGTTGCATTCCCGGCGTGCCTCGGCAATGCTCTCGTTCCACCAGAACACTGGTTGGTGGTGGTACGAACCGCTATGTACATACATACATTCGTATGTACATATGTCCGATTTATTGCGGACGCAGTTTCTTTTCCGCGGTTTATACGAAAAGGTAGGAAACAGTAATATAAACATTTGAACGCATGCGGCAGAAAAGTAAACTGCGCCACTGAAAACTTAACATATAGCTTTACTAAATTGCACTCACCAAGTTTGGCTACAAATTCACAAACGCTTACACGTCACGTTCAACTTCACTCTACTCTGTTTGCCGGAATGATCCTGAACGATCCTAATCGATGTTTGAACCGAATATATCGAATACAATACTCGATTGCTTGAGTATCAAGCGCGCTGCTGTTACTAGCTAACAGCGGGCTGTTAAATAACATGAGGCATTTCTGTTATCTTTTACCACACCCATAAACCACACAAACTAACCACAAGCCAGCTAAAAGGCTTCCGGCCACATATTGTGGTCACCACGCATCATCCACCACGCTGCACCCATGGAAATACACCTGTAAACGCCTTATGATGGAGTTTTTTGTTTTTATTAGGTATCTCTGATATTGGTATTTAATATCTGCGGTGCGACATATTTCTGGTTAAAATCATCATCATTATGTGAAGCGAAAAAATAGACAAAAAATACTTTTCACCAAAAATTCAACCCCTTTTCGTTTGCTTTGTTTCCAATTGGCAGTTGGGCCCGCAACCTTCCAAAAAGTATTTTTTGTCTATTTTTTCACTTTTGAGGTTTGGTTAACGAATTTTAGCTTTAGTTAATGCGTCTATCTAAAACTAAAAATGCATGCCAAGAATTATTTTTCTTTCGACTTTTCTCGAATTTTTAAAGTCAAAATTTCGAAAAAATACCGCAAAAAATTATGAAATTTGAATTTGAAAGCTTAATATCTTCCAGGCGTTAAGCTTCAGATACAAAGTTTCTGGATACGATTTATAGTTGCATTGGGCTCCTTTTCAGAACTGCAAAGTTCAATGCAACCAGATGTAAGATATTTAAGTTATGTGAAAAAAAAGCATTCA